CAAAAGTAACTACCAAACAAGGCCAGACTAAAAGCAACGTATCATCTTTGGTTAACCCACATAGAATCTGAGAACCTTCTGAAGTGATTTATTGTTCTTTTGGAGTACATTTATCCACTGAATATGTCCCTTCTTGTTGAATGCAGGCAGTGCTCATTCATTTTTACATTTTCTTTTTATAGATTTTTTTTTTACTTTAAATTTTTTAAAAATTTTAAACATTTATTTTATTTTACTTTATTTTATTTTGAATTTGACCAGAGAGAGACAAAGAGAGAGAAGGAAAGTGAGAAAGCAAGCTGCCAGGTCCAGGACTTGAACCATGGTCAGCCATGTGGGATTCCAGCTGCCTTAACCACCATGCCACCTGCTGGCCCTACTTTTAAAATTTTTATCTAACTTTATTTTTATTTTATTTATTTATTTTAATTTGAATGGAGAGGGATAAAATGAGAGAGAGAGAAAGAGAGCGTGAGAAAGCAAGCCACCAGGTCTAGGACTCGAACTGTGGTTGGCCATGTGGGAGAGTCCAGCGTCCTTAACCACCACACCACCTGCCAGCCCCATTTTTGTATTTTCTAAAAACCAGATGCTGATTTGCACTAAAGTGACCTACAATTTATTTCTCAATTCTATTTCAAGTTTATTTTAAAAAATCTTTGTGATTCAGAGTAAGCTTATAAATTCAGGTTTTATTATTATCCAAGTTATGCAAATAACTAAATGTCCTTTCATTCTGTAAGGCGTACTTGTTAAGAAACAACAGACTTGGAGCCAGCAGGTGGTGTGTTGGTTGAGGCACTGGACCCTCACATGGCCAAATGCAGTTTGCGTATTGGACCTATCAGCTTGCTTTCTCACTTTCTCTTTCTTTCTGTCTGGTGAATTAAAAAATAATAATTAATAAAATGAATAATAATTAAAGAAAAAAAGAAACAGAGTTTTCATATATCCCTTCAGTCCCTTGTTTTTCTTTCCCAAAAGAAGTATTTACAGATTATTTTGGATGACTCATGTCATGTGTTTCCATGTCTTTAAATAATGCATATATATTTGTTATTGTTGGCTTTTCCCCACTTCAGGAATTACTGATTCCCCTAAATGGAAAAAGACATTTTAATGATTTTCTATGCATTCTCTCCCCCGCTGTGCACACTTACCACCCTCCCATTTTCTGAAACAGTTGCACTGTATTTTGGTTATATCGGTATATTATGCCAATGTAAGTACTACTCACAGATGTGGCATAGATTGATTTCCTTTTTCTTTGCATTTGCTTAGTGTTCTCTGTCACTTTTCCAACCCACGAACTCCCCCAGGTGCCCAACTCTCCTGTCTCTATTCACACTCACTAGGTGTTCCATCAGTCTCATCTCATCTCCTCTCTCTCAGGTGCTTTTTACCCTGTCCAGGTCCGTGGGGGCTCACTGCACAGATAGCCTCGTGGGTTTTCCTTCTTCATCACCACAAAAATTCCATGTTTCCTATCACATTGGATTCCTGCCTTTTATTGATTTAGCCCTTCATTTTGAAGGACCACATCTTTCAGTAGTTTCCTTAAAGAATTAATGAGAAATGCATAATTTTTTTTCTTTTAATGAAAAGGGAGCAGGATTTAGATCTCCTGAACTACTGATCTTCCATTTTCTTTATTTTCTGTTTTTAAGTTTATAGAATTTCTTTTTTACGTTAATGCTATCCCATTTGTTACTTTCTCTTTCTTTTCTTTCTTTTTTTAGAGGTTTTGCTATAGGGCGCATGCGATCACCAGAAAGAGAGAGAGAGAGAGAGAGAGAGAGAGAGCAAGCAAGAAATCACCACCAGGGGGGATGGCCACGCAGCAATCCCTTCTCCTCCAGTCTCCTCTTGGGATCTTGGGCACGCACACACACACGCCTGGCATGAGTTTAAGCCACCGAGTCCGGGACTCAAACCATGGTCGACAACATGGGAGTCCAGCGACATAGCCATTACACTAACTGCTGGTCCCCCATTTGTTACTTTCTTAGAGTTGTTTTTTCTTTAAATGTTCTGTTTCTTTAAGCATTCTGTTGTTTCATAGACATAAAAACTTATCTCTCTCTGAATATCAGTGGAAATTTTAATTTTCTTCTCTTTGAAAAGCCCACTCCTCCACCAGTTGCTTCTGTTCTTTCATGTGTTTATTTTAATTTTCATATTAAATGCTTTTTCAACTGTCCAGTGGCACTTGGCTGTCCACTCACCACTAAGTGCATTGAAAGTTCTCTGCATGCTGCAGCTCTGTCATCTGTGACCTCTACTAATAAGCTTGGGACATGTCCCTGGGAAATTCCAGTGGTTAGGTCAGAATCCTCAGAGACTTCCTTAGCTCCTCCATCCCTAATGTCTGTGTCTGGGAAACCAGTAAAAGAAGGTGAGGAATCTGAGCATTCAGCACGTGACCTTTCAATTAACCCCCATTTTCAGTAAGATGCCTCTAACTACTAGTGCTCGACCTCTAGACTCTGCCTGGCTTTCTGGTGGAGGAGGTAGCTAGGTCATTATCTGATAAGTCAGTGATGAGTATCAGAGGTCAATCACTTTTTTAAAAAACCTTTTTAAAAATTTATTTATTTTGGGACAGCCAGTGGCATGTGGTTGGGACAGCTGAATCCCACATGGCTGACTGTGTGGTTGGAGTCCAAGACCCAACAGCTTGGGATAAAAACCACCAGGTGTATATGTATGCATGCCTAAAATTTCAAGAGGAGAATGGAAGAGAAGGAATTGGGACATGACCATGGCTGAGTAGTATTCCGTAAAGTTTATGTGCCACACTTTTTCCACCCATTCATCTGTTTGTGGACATTTAGGTTGGTTCCATGTCTTAGCAGTTGTGAATAATGTTTCAATAAGTATTGATGTGCAAAGCACTTTTCCTACTGAATATTCTCCTGTTCTTTGGGTAGATACCCAGAAGTGGGACTGCTGGGTCAAATGGTAGTTCTTTCTGTAGATCTTGTAGATTTTTGCTATAGGACACATGTACTTGCTAGAGAGACACAGAAGGACAGACAGAAAGTGAAAAATCAACCATCGGGGGGAGGCCACTCTGTATGTAATCCCTTCTCTTTCATTCTCCTCTCAAGATTTTGGACATACACACACTCACACACACACATGCCCTGCATGCATGAGTTTCAAGCCTCTGGGTCTGGGACTCAAACCACAGTCAGCCATGTGGGAGTCCAGTGACATAACTATGATGCCACCTGCTGGTCCTTATTTTCTTAAACATACTAATGATAGTTACTAAGGTCTTACTAGCTTGCCTCCAGCTTACTTGTAAGTTTGTTTATAGCATCTACCTGATGTTGTTTCTGTTTCTGCTCATGCTCATGGGCTCTAGCTATGCTTAGCATTTTTTTCATTTCCGTAGTATGTGAAAATTGTAGGGCTAGTGGTGGTATATGGTTAAGGAGGTGGATTCCACATGGCTGGCTGCATGGTTCCAGTCCTGTACCTGGTGGCTTAAAAAAAACACAGGGCATGTGTACATGTAAGCCCCAAATCCAGGAAGGACAAATAGAGGGGAAGGAATTGGCAGGGGTGGCCATCTCTTCACTAGGCAGATAGAGATGTGGATGATCATTTTAATCCAGTCATGATTTCGCTCCGAGGAGGTTTTCTGCAGCCCTGGTACAGTTCAAATGGTTTCTGGTTTTTCCCTGGCTCTCCTACGTCATTATTTGAAATCCTGGTATGATCATCAAGTCCCCTTCCTTTTACAAATTCTAAACTCTTAAAATAATTTTCTCATGGAACTGCCAAAAAGCCCTAGAGACTTTCCAGAAAATTTTCAGGTTAGGTTTTAAGCTTGTCGCTCAGCACAGCCCTAGAATTTAGGAAATGTTCTTAGTGGAAAACTCTGGCATGCTCAGAGCTGCCAAAACTTGCATCAAAACTCTGGCTTTTCTGTTCCCAGCATGCCGCAGGTATAAAGCCCACATTCTATCTGCACTGATAAGTGACAAATGCCCCCATGTTGAAAATGGCAATAAAAAGTCAGCTCAGCTCTTCAAGATGTCTTCCCTCTCCAGAGCGTGGGTCTTTAAATTCTCAATGCCTCAACCACCCTGTGCTGCATTCAGATACATTTTCTGTATTTTATCTGATTTACTTGACGGACGCACTAGCCTGCTTGTACCTTCTTAACCTCACTTGAAATCAGAAGTCATCACAACTGAATTTGTATTTGTATTTTAAAAAAAATTTTATTTATTACTATTTTCAATTTGACTAGAGAGAGGCATAGAGAGGGGAAGAAGGAAAATGAGAAAGCAAGCCACTGGGTCTGGGACTCAAACCATGGTCAGCCATGTGGGAGTCCAGCACCTTAACCACCACCTGCCGGTCGCACTGAATTTGTTTTATAAAAATTGGGAAAATGTCTTAGGGTTGTTGTAGGATTAGTTTAGAGACATGTTGAATTGGAATTAATTCTGTGGTATTGCTTTTGCCATGCCAATTACCCAGGTGCTTTCTTAAGAAATTGAAATAATACATGGAACCAGCAGTTAGCGTAATGGCTATGTCGCTGGACTCCCATGTAGTCGACCGTGGTTCGCATCCTGGGCCCGGTGACTTAAAACTCACACCGGGCTCATGTGCGTGTGTGCCCAAGATCCCGAGAGGAGAACGGAGGAGAAGGGGTTGCGGCATGGCCATCCCCTCCTGGGGGGTGATTTCTCGGTTTCTGTCTCTCTGTCTCTGTCTGTCTGGTGAGCGCACGCGCCCTATAGCAAAAACCTCTCCAAAAAAAAAAAAGAAATTGAAATAATCCAGTATATCAATAAACTTCACTTTTGATGTTCTTGTACTCAAACTTTAATGTAGACCTGTGGAGGAGAATTTTAATATTGTATATTTTGAAGGTTAGTCTAGCTGTACTTATAGAAAAATACAGATGTATTTTTGTATGTATAGAGAAACCTTGATCTTGTGTGGGTTGTTGATGTAATATGCGTTTTATTTTGCAGCATCTAACATTCCCAAGAGAATTTGATTCAGATTCTCTTAGACACTACAGCTGGGCTGCAGATACCTTGGACAATGTCAATCTTGTATCAAGCCCTGTTCATTCTGGGTGAGTAAACTAAACGTCACTTTTGTTTATTCTGTAAAGTAAGCATTGCTTTTATTGCTGTTGTGAATTCATAGTGATAAGCTTTATACATATGAGCATATTCATATATGAAATATTTACTCAGTGGGGGTATACATGACATTAGTACATTTTTTTCTAAGCAAATTCTTATATCTACTTTATTGTTAAAAGCACAGAGTTGGGGAAAATTAATTAAATTATTGGCACAGCAAAATTTCCTGGGTGTTCTGATCTTCTAGTTCTTTAATTTTCATTTTTAATAAAAAGTTACATATAGTCATTTTTTTCATTTTACTATTCAGATAGAGGGTTTTTCTCTCAGGTAGCTGATATTTCTTTCAAATAAAAATTAAATATAGCTCTTTCTGTTAGTTTATGCTCACTGACTGACTGTGTTTGCTTCTAATGATAGAAGAATTTCACTCAAGTATTTAGTTTTTCAACCAGCTATTCGCTCCAGCGTTTTCATTATTTTTCTTGTATCTTATAGCACTTTAATGTGACAGAAGATTTGTTTAATATGATTTTTCTTCATAAAGAAGTTATAAACTTGAAATCTAATCAGCAGAGGGGACCTTCTGCATTTCTGAAATAACATTGCAATTAAGTTACATTAAATTATAATTTGAATAAAAGAAAAGACTAGAAAAAGAAAATAAGAAAAATCACTTTTGAAAAGTGAATGTACATGAACATTTAGTTTTTTTAAATATTAAAAAGTAAAACATTTTACAAAAAGGGAATGCACAAATGTATGTACCCCAGAAGTGCTATGGCGAATCCCACATCTACCAGCCCCCTCATTGCTGCCTCACTGTAGTGGGGTTTGAAGGGAGAGGCTAAAAGGTAGCCTCCCTGGATTTCTGAATGGATAAGTCAGTATATTTTTAGATATGATTATTTTCCTGTTTGTAATTCACACTTGAAATCATTGTTATTCATTAAATGGAATTAGAATAATTTGTCAAGATGTTGAATATCTCATTATATTTTGGCCTCAGAAATTGACATTTATACCCTAAATTATTTGGTGATTCAGAACAAAGAGTAAGGTGGCAATACTTACCACTTATATGTATTATAAAGTATTTTTAGTTGCTAATTAAAACACATTATAATAGATAACATTTACTTAGTTGCTTCATGTACCTGGCAGTGTGGTAAATATTTTACATGTCTTATTTATTTAATATTTATTTCAACCTTGAAATACCATTGTGAGAGGTCTTACTCACTATCCCCATTCTGCAGACAAAAGCCTGAGACTCAAAGGCCTGCTGCAGGTTGTTTAAAGTATCATCATTGTAGAATTTTGCCTCATAACAGCATAATTCTGAGAAACAAATCAGTGCACTATCATTCAAACAAGAATAATATATATGAAAGTGCTTCATAAACTCTAAACTACCCTGTGGTCTTTGAGCCATTGTACTGTGTTTCTCTAACTTACTTAGAAAATTCTAGAATTATTACAGGAGTATTAGTTTTCAAACTGCTCAGAACAGACCGTTTATATTAAATGTGTGTGTGTATATATGTGTCTAAAATTGCAAAAATAAAAAAAATCAAATATAAAAAGGATGATATAAAACACTGGGGATCCATTCAGTGGACAGACAAGCTCAGTGAAATGCCACCATGTTGTTACAAGGTGTCGCTTTGTCCTGTCTACACGTGAAAGAAAAAACATGAGGGTTTAATTTAGCAAACTGAGAAACTGAGGAACCAGGATAATTAAATCAGAAATTAACTTTCCCATATACTGGAGACAATGAACTATGCCAATATGCAAATGGTCTCCCTTCCCCCTTGAACTCTACCCAAGAGAATAGACATAAGGCACAAAACAGAATGAATGGCAGCTAGAGGAGGCTTATTTGAGAAGGAAATAGAGGGCTTGGTGTACATTTGTAAATACGTGTGTGGCATTACTAATGCCAGGTCTGTGGAATAGTTCTACACAGCCACTTAAGGCAAATAATTATCCAGGTTGTCCCACAAATGCCAAATGCCGTGGTTTCATTTTCTGATGGTTTTTATTTTTCCTTTGCTTGTCATTGACATTTTCTGTTGCTTGCTTCTAATTATCTTACATTAATTTTTCCCATTTGCTTTCTAAATTATTTTGCAGCTATTCTTCTCCACTTCCTCAGTATGATTCAAGGTGATAACTGTGTCCTTTATGTGAACCATCCTTTTTGTACTTTTAATTTATGTGAATTTTTTCCCACAGTTAGATCGTTGTCAGTGTCTGTAGTGTTTCAGCCTCTGTCACCCCACTGTTCCTAAAACTAGAAGCATTCATGCATTAGTTTCAGGATCATCCGTAGAATTCATGCTGTAGTTTACATAGTAATAAGATATAAATACTATTAAACATCACTTTTTGATTTGTTTCTGTAAGTTACGTTGCATGACTTTTTTTTTTTTGTACAGAACACATAAAAAAATAAGTTTGTAAAACAAATAACTAGTATTTCACAATGTTATTGAGTAATAGGGCCCATATTCTGTTTAACATGCAAGGAGTCTTCAAAAAGTTCATGGAAATGTGTACCCATGAGAAACCTATGGGTAAGTTTTAGATTTTTTTGCACCAGAATAATCCATGAACTTTTTGAAGTCCCTTTGTTTACCTTTCCTCAGTTCTGTTGGTCCCATGAGGTTAAAACCTTAGGACAGTAAATGGTTGTTAGTGAGCACTAAGTGTGCACTGTGCAGAACACAGAAAGATTGTTCCAGTTTGACATTAAAGTCGCCCCAACCCTTACGTTTTTTTCTGTTTGGTTCTGATATTCTCTGTAGCTGTGATTTTTTTTTTTCTTTTTTTTAAGAGAGAGATTTTTGCTATAGGGCATGTGCACTTGCCGGAGAGACAGAAAGTGAGAAATCACCCCCAGGATGGCCATACTACAATCTCTTCTACTCTGTTCTCTGCTTGAGATTTTGGGCACATATGCACTTGCACCTGGCATGAGTTTTAAGCCGCCGGGTCTGGGACTTGAACTGCTGTCAACGACGTGGAAGTCCAATAACATAATTATTATGCCATTTGCTGGTCCTGTAGATATTTTTATATTGACTCTGATAACCTCCTTACACTACCTTCAGACTAATCTGTTCCAGTCAGTCTATTCATCTATCTAGCTGTCATTCCAGCTATCTATTAATATCAGTAACCAAATCTCACCTAGCAGTTTATAAGCTCGTGTAGCAAAGTGTTTTGTTCATGATTTGTGCAGTTTACATTTATTATGTGCCTACTGTGTGCTTCCACTGTGCTCAGCTCTGCAGGTCAAACAGTAAACCAGACATCCGATTGGAATTCGTCTGCATTGTTGAGGCTCCATGTTACCAGAGAAAACACTCCCTCTCCATGGAAATGCTCTAAAAAGTATTCATACTAGTACACAGAATTTTGAAGCCCAGAGTTTGTCTTGAATTATTTTTTTTTACCTATTCTGCTACCATTCTACCAATGACAAATTGATTTTTAACTAGTAAATGCAGGAAAAGATCAGATCTTGTCTTAGGCTTCTATATTTATAATATTGACATAAACCTTCGTTATTGTATATACATAGTTATTGAAATACATGTTACTAAGAAAATGTAGTACCCCACCACAATTTCAAGTGAGCCTTATATCATTTAGGGTTGGAAACAATTCATCTGGACCCTTGCACAAGTGAACAAATAACTTTTTCTTCGATTAAGGAGGAATGTTTTTTGTTTCTTGTTTTTGAGAGTCAGGCTTTTCCCCCCCTCTTATTTTAAATATCATAGCGATCCCAGTCTCTTAAAATAGGTCGGGTATTATCCAACACATAAGTTAATCCAGAGTAAAATGGCTACATCTCACATGAGCAAGAAGGTGTGTAGGTGTGTCCACCTTACCTGTGAGCAGTTGGTTCTGGAAATCTGATTAGCTGAACAATGATCCCTCCTGTTGTCTCTGCCCTTGACTCACGGGCCCATTTGCTTTGCTGAAGAAGTTCCTTTTGGAGGTCAAGAGGCGGAGATGTCCCTAGCTAGGAAGTTGATGCGAGGTCTTAAAATTTGTAACTTCTTTTTCTTTTACATGAGTACGTAGTAAAGAATTTTGATGGATGGGATTCTTTTTCCTCCAAAAATACTTTAGGAATTCAAATAATTGTCTAATGATCAAATCGGGTGCTGTTCTACTTACATTTTCAGTTGTTAAAATTAGAATGCCAAGATATGTGGTCATGGTCTCCTGTCTGACCAGCACCTTTCTGTACATCGTGCTCATTGGTTTAGACTTACCAGCGGGCTTGTGACCCGGCGCTGATGCTGGGGGTGTTCCGAAATGATGGGAAACGAGTCCAGTATGCTTTTACCCAGCTAGGATAGGATTCATTTCTTGACATTTTCATATCTTCATACGAACACATCATTTTTTCCTTATTAGCTTTAAGGTAAAGGCCAATGACAGAATTACGTGATTTAGAGATATTTTTCTAAGAAATCTAAGTTATATTTTTTGTATTGCTATATAAATATTCATATGTAGGTTAGTCCAAACAGCTTTGATGCCCTTATTTCTGGCGAAAATATTTCATCCTTTTCCATCAAAATTGCCTTAGCAAATCTAGTCATCTTTTGCTTTTATTCTTATCTTCTGTTTTGTCATAGTAACTATTAGTGTTGATATAATTAAATACACATTCATTTTATGAGTTGTATGTGTTAAGACGTACTTTGGAGTTTCATCTTACTTGTAAGGGGAGAGATTCCGTAGCACATGGCAAAAACTACTTAGAGTTAAAAATGACCCTTGAATAAACCTTAAATCACCTGTAAAGACCACAGACAATGTTGGGAAGAGGTTGTTTTAAATACATGAGAGTCCTTTCGATAGCCAGCTTTTATTCCACTTTGAAAAACATTCACTATTCCATCAGTTGGAACATTTGTAAAGTGGTTGGCTTCTCTGAGGGGGCCACGTTCCACCAAAAATAAGTTGGGTTTCAGTTTTTGCCAGTGCACAAGTTAAATGCATGTTCGATGTGACTCCACTGTATTGACTTCAGTTTATCTCTAAAGAAAGGAAATGACAGCAACGTTGTCTGTCGCTTTACATTTAATTTCAAAACATGCTGTGAAGACAGTTGATTTCTGTCCTTAATTTGACCTCTGATCTCCCTGCAGGTTTCTGGTTAGCTTTATGGTGGATGCGAGAGGTGGCTCCATGCGAGGAAGTCGGCATCATGGGATGAGAATCATCATTCCTCCACGCAAGTGTACGGCCCCCACCCGCATCACGTGCCGTTTGGTAAAGAGACATAAGCTGGCCAACCCACCCCCCATGGTGGAAGGAGAGGGATTAGCCAGTAGGCTGGTAGAAATGGGTCCTGCAGGGGCACAATTTTTAGGGTAAGTTGTTTTGTCTATTTTAATTTTGGCCCTCATACCACTTCTCTGATGTTCTTTACCCTTGTTAACTCGAGAAGTTAACTATTAAAAGTACTTAGTTGGACCTGATTAAGTATACTTCTTGTGTGATGTCGAAGGTCACAGAGCTGTGCGATTGTATGAACAGCTAATAGGCTGACCCTTCCTTAACTCACTTTGCTGGTCAAGGCTTTTACTAACCAAGAAGCATGTTCTCTGCTCAGCGGGTGCACCGAACCCCAACCGCCCGGGTAGAAGTCAAGGCCCCAGTCTAATGAAAAAATGCAGATGCTGGAATTATTGTGTATCACTACATTGAATGAGTGGCTACTTTGGGGATGTGTCTTTTTAAGTATAATTTTTAGGGAAACATCCCATTGTGATACGGTATTTTACAAAGAGGAAAAATAAATTTAATTCTTCTGAGGTGGCACTTGGGTGCAAATCAGGCAGGCTCTGTCATGACGGACAGTGTGTTCACACTTTCCCCTTCTTGTTTCTCTTCCTGCTGCATGGATGTTATTCAGTAAACTGCATCTTCCTACCAATCCTCCCCCTGTAAATGAGGGTGAGAGCTTGGTTAGCCGAATCCTGCAGCTTGGGCCTCAAGGAACAAAATTTATTGGGTAGGACTTTTATAGACAAGATACAGAATGTCTACAATTTTTTTTTTCCATTTTTAGTTTTTTTCTGTCACACCCATGGTCTTATTCTTGTCTTAAGTTTATTTTTTTTAAGTTTTTTAATTATTATTATTGCTTTCAGTTGTATGTCACTGAAAGAAAAAAGAATTCATAGTGGCTCGCCTTAATGTAGCACTGCTACCTATCTTGTGCTTTTCAAGCATGTGGAATTCACTGCAAGCATTCTGCTTCCATAACTTTGTGCTTTGGTAAACCTTTCTTTATTTGGAAATGTTTCTTTTGAATATAATACTTTTCAAGACAGACTGACAGTCTTTAATTTGCAGGCTTCCTGTCTACATTTGCTATAAATGAGATATATATATATATATGTATATGTCCGTGCGTGGAATTAGATGTTTAAAAAAAAAGTACTGATGAGTACTGTGTAATCTTTATGGGCTTGGAGAAGAAAAGGTCAACAATGAGGAAACTGAAACGTGTTGGGAATACAGAGTATTGAAAGAAAATTCAATAGGTAGCAGATAGAAACAAGTTATTAAATCGTTTCGTTTTGTTTTGTTGAAGCTGAAATGTGTTGGTATTTGGTGTTTGTTCGCTCGTCTGTCTGACCGGTTGGTGTGTTTGCCTTGGCAGTCTGCATGAACAGACCTGTTATGACCAGTTATGCTTGGCTTTCACCTTGGTCAAAGACCCTTGTTTGTACCTTCCTTCCAGTATCATTGAATGTCATACACAAAGCTACGTTCCTTAAATATTTACAGAGACAGTATCTGATGCATTAACCTGCAAAGATTGTATCTCGTTCTCAAAAAATATAAATAAAATTTAATGTCTGATTATAAGGTGTGGTTAAAAACCACAGTAAATATCTTAATAACTTTGAAATCATGAACCCCATTAGGAATGGCTCATCTTGCTTATACTTATGAAAGAGGAAACAATTATAAATATTATTGTTCAAAGCCGTCATCTGAATTCATTGCAATTATTTTGCCAAAAGTAAAAATATTATATTGATCATCCCCATTTTAAGAGAGTGCTTTGGTAATATATGAAATATTCATATGTTTGCATTCATTATTTGATCACCACAACTATTCCTTGTTATGCTGTTTCCCTAGTCTGTTATCACGTATTCATAAACATGTAGACCGAGAGGGGAGGTTACATACAACCTCTGTAGGAGAATAATGATACTGTCTACTTAAATGTCATAAAATAAAGCTGCACAATCCAACTACATAAACTGTTTGTGATTGTGGTCTGCTTACTTCCATTCATCTTTTTTAGCATTTATCCTATTTTAAAATTTAACAAAATTATTTCCCATGGCTTGATTGGCTAGCTCCAATTTGCAGCCATTCTTATACATTCCTTGCAAAAGGACACTGTCATAAATTAATATGTCGTTGTATGACAATTTCAAACCAAGAGGTGCTTTTCCAGCATGTGTAAATATTCCTATTCAGGTTCTGTTTAGACCTAGGAGAGAAGGCTGCCCAGTGCTTTTCTGCAATCTGAAAAACAGGGAAACTATCTTAACCTTTCAGGCCATGAAAGTCATGCAAACCGTTAGAGGAAGTAGATTATTCTATTCATTGCTTTCTTGCTAAAGGGGAAAATATGGTAGTAATCTTTCAAATTAGAAAATTGATATAATTTCTTTTTTAAAGAAATGGCTGTGTCCTTTTAAATCATTAGCATTTCGTATAATATAATATACCTCTTGTGTTTAAAAAAAATGGACCAACTTTATTTCTTATGGTCTATTTTAATAACCTTTAGTTCTTTGATTGAAAATTCCCACTATGTGCTGAGGATTTTCCCCTAGTAAATCCCGTGCCTATCATATGGTGGTAGGCTCTCAAGAATTGTTTGTGAGCAAATGAATCATGGCATGTGATCAGGCTTCTAATATGTTATTATTTAATTAGCAAATGATTCTGCAGCTTTGAAATCATTCCCAACCTTAGTGGCACCTCCAAGTTTCAAATGAATACCGTTAATGACACTTTTTAAAAGTATGCTACTATAAACATGTTTCATTTGATACCAAAATAATGTGGATTTTTTTTCCAGCCCTGTCATAGTGGAAATCCCTCACTTTGGGTCTATGAGAGGAAAGGAGAGAGAACTCATTGTTCTTCGAAGTGAAAATGGTGAAACGTGGAAGGAGCATCAGTTTGACAATAAAAATGAAGATTTAACCGAATTACTGAACGGCATGGATGAAGGTAATCACAATGGCTCCTTGCTTTTGCGAGTATCTGCTGCAGAAAGCAGAGTGGCCAGATGCAGTGCTGTGCCTTTCACACATGCTGCTGGGACCCAAGTTCCTTCGCATTGATTGCTGCTTTCCTGATCTAAGGCATTTAATCAAACAAACTTTTTCCCCATAATCAGACTTTTCCCTTACAATACACATCTATAGTGTGATGATTTTTTTTTCTGTCTTTAATGAAATACATGAATCTTTGCAAAACCCAAGAAAATTTTCTCAGTCGAAAATAGGTAAGGGGAGAGTGAAATAATACTGGAAGAGCATTTTTTTATTTTTAAGAAATTTATTTATTTATTTTTATTCTATTTATTTTAATTTGACCAGAGAGGGACAGGGTAAGAGTGAGAATGAGAGAGAGAGAAAAAGCAAGCCTCCTGGTCCAAGACTTGAACCACGGTTGGCCATATGGGAGTCCAGCACCCTTAACCACCACGCCACCTGCCAGCCCCATGGAAGAGCATTTTAAAGAAAATAGGTTCACATTGATGGGCTAGCTCCAATTTGCAGCCATTCTTATACATTCCTTGCAAAAGGACACTGTCATAAATTAATATGTCGTTGTATGACAATTTCAAACCAAGAGGTGCTTTTCCAGCATGTGTAAATATTCCTATTCAGGTTCTGTTTAGACCTAGGAGAGAAGGCTGCCCAGTGCTTTTCTGCAATCTGAAAAACAGGGAAACTATCTTAACCTTTCAGGCCATGAAAGTCATGCAAACCGTTAGAGGAAGTAGATTATTCTATTCATTGCTTTCTTGCTAAAGGGGAAAATATGGTAGTAATCTTTCAAATTAGAAAATTGATATAATTTCTTTTTTAAAGAAATGGCTGTGTCCTTTTAAATCATTAGCATTTCGTATAATATAATATACCTCTTGTGTTTAAAAAAAATGGACCAACTTTATTTCTTATGGTCTATTTTAATAACCTTTAGTTCTTTGATTGAAAATTCCCACTATGTGCTGAGGATTTTCCCCTAGTAAATCCCGTGCCTATCATATGGTGGTAGGCTCTCAAGAATTGTTTGTGAGCAAATGAATCATGGCATGTGATCAGGCTTCTAATATGTTATTATTTAATTAGCAAATGATTCTGCAGCTTTGAAATCATTCCCAACCTTAGTGGCACCTCCAAGTTTCAAATGAATACCGTTAATGACACTTTTTAAAAGTATGCTACTATAAACATGTTTCATTTGATACCAAAATAATGTGGATTTTTTTTCCAGCCCTGTCATAGTGGAAATCCCTCACTTTGGGTCTATGAGAGGAAAGGAGAGAGAACTCATTGTTCTTCGAAGTGAAAATGGTGAAACGTGGAAGGAGCATCAGTTTGACAATAAAAATGAAGATTTAACCGAATTACTGAACGGCATGGATGAAGGTAATCACAATGGCTCCTTGCTTTTGCGAGTATCTGCTGCAGAAAGCAGAGTGGCCAGATGCAGTGCTGTGCCTTTCACACATGCTGCTGGGACCCAAGTTCCTTCGCATTGATTGCTGCTTTCCTGATCTAAGGCATTTAATCAAACAAACTTTTTCCCCATAATCAGACTTTTCCCTTACAATACACATCTATAGTGTGATGATTTTTTTTTCTGTCTTTAATGAAATACATGAATCTTTGCAAAACCCAAGAAAATTTTCTCAGTCGAAAATAGGTAAGGGGAGAGTGAAATAATACTGGAAGAGCATTTTTTTATTTTTAAGAAATTTATTTATTTATTTTTATTCTATTTATTTTAATTTGACCAGAGAGGGACAGGGTAAGAGTGAGAATGAGAGAGAGAGAAAAAGCAAGCCTCCTGGTCCAAGACTTGAACCACGGTTGGCCATATGGGAGTCCAGCACCCTTAACCACCACGCCACCTGCCAGCCCCATGGAAGAGCATTTTAAAGAAAATAGGTTCACATTTTATTTTTGCAAATCGTGTTTCTGGATGCTTCTAAGTAATTCTGTTTTCTTCCAGATTATTTCAATATCTATCATGATTTTTTTATTTCTCTGGGACTGTAATTCGTTTCTACAACGAAAGCATCAGGGTAATCATTGGAGTTCATGGTGGTGGTCTTTGACTTTGTAAGACTGGCGTATAGCTGGGCCTGTCTCATTCTCACCCACTCCTTCTTCAGACTGTCTGACCCTTAGCACCTCGCAGGTTTTCTTAGCAGACAATAGGAATAGAGTGGTTTTGAGAGCAGGCATGTTTGACACAGACTTTCCCTTTAAAAAATGTAAAAAGATAAAGATGAAGGGACCAGATGACATAACATTTATGTTGCTGGACTCCCACATGGCCGACCATGGTTCAAGGCTTGGACCCAGTGACTTGAAAATCATCTTGTTCTAGCCCTTGCCAACTCATGTTTTCTCAGCAGAGAAAAAGACACTGCAAAACAGAAACATCTGTTCCTCTCCCTTTTCCCCTCCCCCCCCCAAATTACTTTGTAGAGCACCACCTAATCTACTTTGTAAGTTTATCAAAAACTTCACTTTAATTAAATTCACAAAGTTGAATTAAACATGTTTAAAATGGTGCCTCCAAAGTCATACCCCGAGAGATGGAGTGTAGTTTGCAGTTAGGTTGAATCTGGGAGCATTTACTGGAAGAATCCATGCTCCTCAGAGGTCGTTAACTTACAAATCAAAGAGCTTGAGAAATGTCCGAGGCCTGCACTGACACAGATGGTCGTCACTAGCTACCTGTAGCCACAGAGCACTCAAAATGGGGTTTATGCAAATCGAAATGTGCTACACATGTAAACTACACCAGATATATGAAAATCGGTACCTGCCTCCAAATATATTTACCAGTAATAATGTTTATGTTGATTATAGGTTGAAATAGCAAGGTTTTAGCTATAGTGGGCCAAATAAAACATTGTTCACTTATATTACCTGTTCTTTATTTTATCTTTTTAGTACAGCTGTAAGAAAATTTCTAATTATATATGTGGTTTAGTTATACTTCTCTTGGTCAGTGTGGATCTGGAGAGCATGTAGACTTTATTTTTATTACACATTAAGATTTTTTTTAAAGCATGTAATATTATTCATCATTCCTTTTTTAAATTTTTTTTTTAATTTGACCAGAGAGAGACAGAGGGAGAGAGAGTAAGAAAGCAAGCTGCCAGGTCTAGGACTCAAACTTTACAGTCAGCCATGTGGGAAGTCTAGCACCTTAACCACCACATCACCTGCCGCCCCATTATCTATTAAGTTTTAAAATCAAAATAATTTCTAAATGTCACACAGAAGGCTTAGAGTACATAAGAATTATCCCATTTAATATTGGCAAAATGTTGCTAAAATTCCCCCCAATTTCATAATGCTAGGAAAATGTTTTCTCACCTGTTACTGTTGCTTAACTTTCAGATGAGAGCAAATGAGGTCTCCCAGATAACAAATACATTTCAAATGGAAAAGTATACTATTGTCTTTTTGTAAACTGAAGTAGGAAAGAGAAATTGGTGCATGTTATATAACAGAAAATAAATTTTCCAAATATGTCATCTTAACTATATCAGCAATATCGTAGAAACAAAGTTCTAATTTCTTAGTTAGAAACTGTCGCTTTGACTCTTTTGAACTCGCTTGTTTGTACTATCTTAGACATGGACAAATAGTCGTCTTGAAGTGTCGAGTTATTGACGATGCCGAGCACTAAAAAGGAAACCATATAGTTTCATGTTGTACACAGCACCATCTGCTGGAGAATTCTAGTAACAGTTTTTAAAATTCCAGAGGACAAAATTAAAGCAATCAACTCAGCTGGGATGGAAAAACAAAACAAACAAACAAAAACCAGAAAACAAAATCTGACAATTAAATCATAATTTTTTTTGCTTTGAATCTATTACCATAAAGCTGACATTTTAAATCTATTAATGATGACCATCACGTTGCAAAAGGAGAAGAAACCATGCCAGAACAATTCCCTGAAACCAATTAGTTTTGGTTTGGTTTTGTTATTTTAGAGAGAATTTTGCTATAAAGCACGTGTGCTCACCAGAAAGACAGAAAGCAAGAAATCACCCCACACAGGGGATGGCCATGCCACACTCCCCTTTCCTTTATTCTCTACTCGGGATTTTGGGTACACACACACATGCCTGAAGTGAGTTTTAAGCCTCTGGATCCAGGACTCAAACCACGGTCAACTATGTGGGACTCCCATAACATAACCGTTACGCTATCTGCTGGTCCCTTTTTTTAGGTTTTTAGCATAGAGTCCACATACTTGCCAAAGACAAAGAGAGGGAAAGTGAGAAGTCACACACACACACACACAACCCAGCGGAGATGGCCACTCTGTAATCCCTATTCCTCCATTCTCCTTTTGGGACTTTGTGCATGCACGCACACTTGCCAGGTGTGGTTTTCAAGGACTCCATCCACGGTCAGCCAGGAATCCAGTGCCTTAACCACCATGGCACATGCTGGCCCAAGGCACAGTGGGGCTTTTAGCTGCAAGGGCAGTGAAGCAAGTCTGATAGGCAGGTCTCAGCCTCAGTACCCTCAGTGGCCACTGCAGCCCAAGTCAGTGTGCTCTGGGTATGCTGGACATGCCAGCTTGCTTGTTTATGAGGGAAAAAAAGAACACTTTTCGGTGTGTGTGGGGGGACATGGAGAAGCAAATGCAAAGAATCTGAGTCTCTTAATCTCTAATCCTGGGGAAAAACTCAGCATGATTATTCCAACATGGCCAGACCCCTTCCTCCACTTTTCTTCCTTCCCTAAACCTCAACTCAGATTCACCAGATAAATCCACCCATGACACCTGGCCTGTCTGCAAGTTTGAATTTTATGATGTTCCCTGGTGGACCGTGAGGTCCATGGGGTCAGGGACTGACTCAGACCACTGACAACCATTATATCCAGTGTGTGTAACCTCTCTTCGCATATGCTAGAATTGAATGAAAATATGAGTTAAGGGGACAGCAGGTAGCATAG